CTCCTAAATCACTCGTACGCACAACTTAAGAACAAATCTGTGCGTACGAACGGTTCTTACACGAGGGCCAGTGTTTCCCTACATCAAGTGGTCAGCTACTCCTGAATCAGTAATGAAATATGCTGTGATCTGTTCTCCAATCTAATACTGAGGATGGGCTCAGAACCTCCCTACATCTCCTTAAACACAAATCTGTTCAAACTCTATGGGAACTCTGAAACCATCTCTGTTTGTGTCTTGCAGGAATGGGAACAGAAGACCGGCACATGAACCTGAACAACCATCATCAGTCTGACTTTCACTCCCTTCTCTGCTGAAGAAACTGTGTATATTTATTTAAAACTGGTCATACAGMTAGAGTGTGCTGAAGAGGACACAATCATACCGTTGACATGAGCTAAACTAAAACCAGAAGCCAGCTTTTATATCCCGTAAGCTGTAAGTGCTACAGCTTGATGCCAGTATGATTAGCTGTCAATTCTTCTGAAGCCACCTCACAATTTTCCTTTAAAATTCTTTCCAGCAGTTTTAAAAGGCAGAACCAGGTATTTATTTGTAAATTTTTATAGGAAATACTGACTTCCCTTTTTATTTATGTTGATATATTTAAAATACTTTGAGAATTTGTGGCTAGTGATCAATCACAAAACTGGATCCTTCAAGAACACACAAGAACACAATAATGAAAATCAGCTGAAMAACAGTTCCCTTAAAGGCTGTTCAAAGAAGCAGAATTACTTCAGWCTGAAGCTAACATGAAATTGTCTAATGTGAATCAGTTCATCTATGAATCAACTGTATCTTCAAGCCTTAACAGGTTGCATATTACAGCTTGTTGACCCTTGACCCTAAAACAGGTATCAAAGACACAAACACTGCATCAACAAAGAAACATAAGTAAATAATAATGTTTAACTTTTAGACCGATTAACAGGAAGTGTTTAATTTCAGTGGATTGTCATTAATGCATTTAAAGATGCACCTCATTAGATTGATTTTGAACCCATTTTGGCAATACAGATAAAATGTAATGTTTTAGTTATTTTCTACTTCATTTTAGTTAGAAAGCATGGGCAGGTGAGTAGTTTAAACATGGTGAGGGAATACACATGCACACAGTTTGGTAAGACAGATACACAGAGTTCGTAAACATTTTGTCAACTCACATTAGGAGTGAGGGCGGCACACATTTGGACAAAACTATGGTTGTATGTTTGTTATAGATAAATAAAATATGGATTAAAATATCTTTATTCTAAAGTAGTGTTTCTTAAAATTCTTTTAGGATTCTTTGTGCTTGAATTCAGCACAAGTATCCACTAGAGAGCAATGGATTGGAAACACGTCAAAGTGTTGAGATGCCTGAATCACCGATGATGACTTTTTAATGCAGAGAAGCAGCGGCTCTACTGTGGTCTTCTCCCTAACTCCACTTCTAATGGTGCTTTCACACCAAACGCGATTTCATCGTCAGGAGCAGCAGGTTTACATGCAAAGTCTATGGTGGATGCGCTTCAATCAGCGTCGGGAAGTGCTGTGGCGCCTCAAGCGAGATTAGAGCAGCACGATTTGAACAATTTGAACGATCTGAGCGTTCGACGTGCTGAGGCGCAAATCGCTGA